ATATATATATATAAACTATAGCAATCTCACTGCTATCAAAATGCCCGGTAGCATTCACATCCGCAACCTGGAAGGTGGAGTAACAAACCTACACGTTTACAACACACGCGTGTTTGAGAGAGTATGTATGTGTATACACAATTCTAACTTGAAAAGTCATGGTTCACGAACTGAATAGCTGAACGTAGTACTACTGAGAACCCACAAACATGAGAGGTATACCACGTGCCTTTGCAGCCACTACCGGGCAACCCAGATTTAGACATACACCAACCAAACCAATTGATCCTACATACCTTGTAACCACTGGCGACACTGTGCCACACCGTAGTCTCCATGTAAACTGAATAGTGCTGCTATTATTTCTTTCTCCAGATTCTTCCACGTCAGTTCAGAGGCCTTTATTTTCGTCTCTGAGTGTATCTTGACCAACAGGTATCTCAACTTAACTCTCACCATCGCTGCGGTCGTAGCTCACAAGCGCAACAGTCCTGTCCAAGCCACACCAGGTCCATAGACCACTCCTAATGTATTCAAACTTCAATTACCATCCATATACATACGTAGTTGGCTGTTCTCGTGCATATCTGGCTGGCGTTGCCGTGATGCTATGCATAAATATTGAAATAGATATCCTGTGTGAACGGAAGTATTCAATTCAATAATTGATCGTAGCCTTCTAAAAAACAAAGGCTATGAATTGAAATGTATTTACAATGTAAATAAATGTTCGATTTTCAGAAGGCTATGAAATAAATATAATATTTACATACCGTGTGGCTTTCAGGAGAATATTCATACACAGCCTCCAGACAGTTCAGAGTCCAGACAGTCCAGACAGTCCAGAGTCCAGACAGTCCAGACAGTCCGGAGACCAGACAGTTCAGAGTCCAGACAGTCCAGACAGTCCAGGGACCAGACAGTCCAGAGTCCAGACAGTCCTGAGTCCAGACAGTCCAGAGTCCAGACAGTCCTGAGTCCAGACAGTCCAGAGTCCAGACAGTCCAGAGTCCAGACAGTCCAGAGTCCAGACAGTCCAGAGTCCAGACAGTCCAGACTCAGGTGCCCTCCAATCTCCGCCAAATATGTACTATTTTAGTGACAATAAAATACCTCGTTCCTATTGGTCGAACGTATCCGAGGTGGCCGACAATACAGACACTGTTGTAGAGGGAGTCTCGGAGAACCATCCTGATATTTTTAGTCTGTGACTGTGATATTAACATCATACAGGCATACCCTTCTAAATTGAACACACGAAGGCTATGTCGCTATATATATATACACAATATTTCTTTCAACTCAAATACATATTAAAGCATTTGTAGATTTGTAGCACAAGAGTAGAGACTAGAGAGGTCTAGGGCTTCAAGAGGTCACTGCAGCGCGTGGCTTTGTCTGCGACTTCACGCTGATGCATCACTGTACTTGCTACGGACCAGTCAGAACGAAAGCGAGTTTTTGCTAGTTGAGTGATATGCCGTGTTAACATCATAGTATGCTCTACAACCTGTTGATGTGTGTTTATTGCTCTGTTGATTTTTGTGTATTGCTCTGTTGATTTTTGTGTATTGCTCTGTTGATTTTTGTTTAGTGCCAAGTAATGCGCATCTCGCGCTGTTGAGCCGAGTTTGGATGGTAATTGGCACTATATACAGGATGTGCCTTAAAACTCGTTCATTCTTTTCACCCTCTGCAGAAGGCAGCACCCCACTATAGAGCTAGGAGTGGTACCCTTATGCCGTCACAGACGTGTCTCATATCCATTTTATTTGATACGAAGACTGCGTGATACTTTATCCTTGGACGAAATGCTGACACTTGGGCGACCTGAAAGGATATCTTAATCCTGAACTGTAGAGCAAGTAGATATAAAACCAACCCTAGAATGCACCTCAAATAGCCGGTAGGGACCCAGATAGCCCTTGCCAGCATACATAGACTACTAGTGATAGTGACCTCGCTGTACCGTTCAGCAAGGCAGTACTGAAACACTCGGCAATCTGTCAACGGTGTGTTTATGAACGTAAGATACCGGAAATAAACAAATGCATGTACCATACAGCTCGAGATGTTCACATCAACACGCTAAGTATCATCCGATGGCTTTGCTAAACGTTTATTACATTAATGACAACGCATTGCAGCGCGTTTAATATTTGTGGCCATCGCCCCAGATGACTCTGATGCCTGGCCGTGTCTTCTCCAGTGCTTCACACACAGACACCCACGCTTCTTTGTCATCTGCCTTGTTCCCACCTGCACAGACAACCGGTGTGTACGTATATGAATATGGTAACCAGCAGAGACAGCACAGTGTGTAGTGTACAAGCAACGCAAAGGTAATTGCTGGATAGGCATTGTACCGTTTAATATAGACTTCCCACGTACCACGCCACTCGGGTGTACTACCGTATGACAGTGATTCGTTCAACGATGGTATCACCAAACAACAAATCAAACCACGTGGTACAAGACCACACGCACAAAAGCACGCCAGCAAGAAGCTGAAGGTCAACAGCCGACGAGGTAGTGATATACGTACACACACACACAAACAAACATACATACACACACACACACACACACACACACATAATATATATA